AGTGGAATGAAATTCGAGCAATTTGAACATCCTCACCTCTTAATAGATCTGAGCCGTTGATCTCATTGATTAATGGTGTGATTAACTATACCTTCTTACCTCACATGTAAAAAGAGGGGGTCAGACGGAGCATGTTAAAATTTGCCATGAAATTCGGAGTACCCCTGTCAGCCTAAAGTTAAGCAGTTCATGTGGAGATTTACTCATAATAGTCTGCCGCTGAAAGTGAATATTAGTCGTTAGGGGAATGAATTGCGAGAAACTTTGTGTGTGTTGCCGGAGATTAAACGAAGATGGTGCGCATCTATTTTTGAAATGTAAAGAGGTGAAGCAGCTTTAGCGGCAGCTAGATCTGGAGGACGTGAGGCTGCAGATGTGTGTGTGTTGATAATGCAAAGTCTCCATTCGCAAAAGAAATTAAAAATAATGCAAAGTCTGTTGTGCATGTGTTGAGAAATAGGAGTATTGAAGAACCAAAGAAAGTGCTCGTTGCATGCATGTTGTGGAAGTGGTGGCATAGGAGGAATAAAATAAATGCTGGGGAGAAAGCGATCCCAATTGGGATTAGGGCTGCTCAAGTGCGTCAGGCTGCGTGGGATTGACAGGCTTAAAATTAATACTGATGGGGCTTTCAACGCACAGACTACTAGCGGTGGATGGGGGTTTGTCTTTCGTGATGCGACTGGTGCAGTCAGAGGATTGTAAGAGCATCTCCAGCTGTTGGCTTCTCAAGAGGGGCTAAAAATCGCCCCCTGGGGACGCACCGGCGCTAACCCGCGCGCTGGGGGCGTAATGTCCCCCAGTCACGGCGCCCATGTTATTTTGAAAAATCTAAACACGGCATAATAATGGCCAAATTTATTGCAAACTTTGGCGAGTTCGTTCAAACTTAAACATATTTTACAAAAAAAAAAGAAAAAAAAAACTACTAGGGGCCGCCACTCGCCATCTCCATTGCCGCTCCTCGCCGTTCGCCTCGCCGCTCCCCGCCGCCCGCCGCCGGCCTCACAGTTCTACACGCCGAGGAGGCTGTAGAACCGCGTGTAGTCGCCGCCGTCGTCGTCGTCGTCGCCGCCTCCGCCGCCGCCGTCCCTACTGCATCCCTCCCCCGGTTGGCGCGTCGGGTTGGACGGTCCGGGGGCGGCCTCCTCGTCGTCACTGTCGAGGATGACGACGCCGTGCTCGTCCTCGCGCCCGCGCTTGCGAGCTTCGATATCCTCTAGGGCCCGGCGCTGCCGGACCATCTCGTCGCGGAGGTAGTCGTCCCGCGCCCACTGCAGGGCGTCCTCGCCGGAGAAGCCGCGCCGGGCTATCTCCTCGTACTTCGGGGGGAGGCTGGGCTCCGGCTTGGGCTCGACGAGGACGAAGTGGCTGGTTGGGGGGTGGAGTCGCCGATGCGGACGCCGGAGGAGCTGCGGGTGCACGCGCTGACCGGCGTGTCCTGGGGCTCCGGCTTGACAAGGCGGAGGCAGGGAGAGCCCGACGAGCGGCCGGACAAGGAGGAGGATGCGCCGGGCCGCTCCGTACGCCTCGGCGTCCAGGAGCTCCCACGACGGCGTGAGAAGGTCGGGGGAGCGGGGTACTCGAGGCACGGCGTGTTGCCGCCCTCGATGTACTCGAGGACGGCCTCCAACATGCGGCCGGGTACGCCCCACCACCGGCGCCGGCCCTCGGAGTTGAGCCTGCCGGAGGGCACTACACCGTTCGTCGCCTCGAGCTGCTCGGCGTGTCGGCGGCGGAAATAGGGCTTCCAGAGCGGGCTGTCGGGGGTGTACCGCGGGCCTTTCCTCGCCGCTCGCGGCAGGGACGCGCGAATGCACGCGATCTCCGCACGCCGCGCCGCCTCGGTGGGCGGTGGTGGCACCGGCACGCCGCCGGCGCTGATCCTCCACGACCCGGGCACCCGCATGTCCGGCGGGGCCGGGTACTCGGCCTCGAAGAGGAGGCGAGCCTCGTCCTCGTGCAGATGGCGGCGGCCGAAACCATTCGCCGCCGCGCCGTCGCCTAGGAAGCGCTCGGCCATCCTTCTAAGCTGGAGACGGCGAGAGGAGGAAAAGGAAGAAGTGGGCGCGTCGGCGGTGTAGTGTGTGTGTATCTCCGGCGCGCTCGTTCTCGGCTTATATAGGCGGAAGCGCCGCGCGGTAGGCTGGCCGGCGCGTTACGCGTGGCGGGAGACGTGGCGGCCGAGGGGACGCCCATCGCCCGGACTTCACTGCGCCGCCCGTGAGGCATCAATGGAGGCTGACCGGCGCGGCAGCGCGCGCAGCTTTGGCATTGATTCGTCGCGGGAAACGAGGCGATGAGGACGACGAAGCGGCGAGAAGGAAGTCGAGTTGCTGACGCGGCTGGCCCACGGCGCTTTCATGCCATAAAAGATTCGCCCGGCCCCCGAGCGACCCCCAGCGCGCCGGGTTCGGGTTGGTTCCGCCGGCGCCAATTTCGGCCCGAGCCGGCGAAAAATTGGCCCCTGGGGGCGCGACTGGGCCGATTTTTTGGCGCCAACGACCGAAAAAACGCATGGGGGGCCTTGTTGGGGGCGCGGCTGGAGATGCTCTAAGGATGGCCAGAGTGGGGATAACATCAGGGGCGGCGGTAGGGGTATTTTTGGGTCTTCATGTGAATACTCATAATTTTTACAAAACAATGTTGATTTTGACAAAAAAGTGACAATTTTCAAAAAACAACAAAGATTTTGGCAAAATGAATACACAAAAATACCCGATTGCAAATTCCTGTAGCCGCCACAGGATAACATAACTGGTAAAATGCACTTGGGACTCGCAAACATGCTTATGTGGCACACAATTAAAGAAGAGAGAGAATTAGAGTAATATAGATAGATACCGTATCATGTTAAATGCTATGCTACTTTGTGTCATGCATGACAATAAATATAGTCATCTATAATACTACTTTATAATATATGCACTATAAAAATAGTATCATATACTAGTATCATATGTATGATACTAATATATGATACTCCCCACTATAAGTAGCTCGTGCTATGGCTTCTCGTGGAGCTAGCTCTTAATTTGGAGTCCGTACCAGTCGATGTACATGTCTTGGTGGCCAGTCGATGTACATGTCTTGGTGGCCAGTGATTTCGCTGAGCCAGTAGCCTAATATGGAATCAGGTGTTCCATTTCAAAAAAAAAAAATCCACGCCAACTGCCGTGATCATACCTCCTCCTCTACCTCTTCGGCAGATCAATCTGAGAGCGAATGGAGAAGACACACAGTAGCTCAGATTCCAATCGACCATGGCGTCCAGGCCCGGCAGCGGGACGAAGGCGGCGGCGGAAGAAACAGTGACATCATAGAGTCCCCCCTCCTCCCGGCTCCCGTGTCGTCCTCCTCGAACGACCCGGGGGCGACTAGGGTTTCCCTCCGGCGCCGCCACCCCCTCCAGCCTCTCCTCCCCTTGCCGCCACCTGAGGGACGCCAGGCAAGCCTCGGTGGCCGCCGATGAAGGTGGTGGCGAGGCCTCTCGTCGCTTCGCTCCCCTCGCGAAGGGTCCCAGACTCGAGGGCGGCAGCCTCAGCCGGCGAGGCGGCGCAGCCTCCGCGCTAGGCGGCGCTCACGAGATGTGGTGGCCGGCCTCCTCGGCTGCTCGGGCAGCGCGGAGCCGGCGGGTGGTGGTCGTGGCGCGGTCTCTTCCCCTCCAGATCTGAAGGTCAGGTCTTTTTGTTTCTCCTCCTCTGCTCACTCTCCTCCCCTCCGGCTGTATCCTCCCGGCAGCTTTGGCTGCTAGTTCCGGTGCTGGCATGGTGTTGGTGGCATAGATCGAGTCCGGGGGAAACCCTTGGCCGGTTCTCTGACCACGGCGGCGACGGCGCATGCATCGCCTTTCTTCTTCGAGGCGCCGCTGAGGACTCCTCTATCCATCCCTTGTCCAAGATCCCGGGTGAAAGCCCAAAACTTGTCTCGGGTTGGGCGGCGGCGGCGCCTTGCGCGTCGTTCCCTTCTTGGAGGCGCCACCTTAGGTTGTCTGGTTCTTCGGGTGGGTGGCGCCGAGGTACGAGAGCGCCCGACGGCTTCGAGTCCAAGCAGAGGCTTGTTCCAAGCTTCGGCCCTGGGTCTTTGCAGCTTTCTTCTTCGACGATCCTCCCAGCGGCTTTCCTTCTGCTCTCGGTTGGCCAAGGAAGGTGGTAGTGCAGCTAGTGGGTGTGCCTACGGCTCGGCGAGGACCGTGAGCTATGTCTGCTCTGGGTCTGGGCCGACACCTTCTCAAGCTCTCGGGTGAGCACCCAACGACCCGACAGTCCGGCGCCTTCGAGCCTAGGCGAGAGGAAAGGATTCCTCTTCGGCGTTGGAAGACAGGTGTTCGTGGTCCCAATCCAAAGTTATGGCTGCTCTCGGTGCTTGCGGGCCAATGTCTAATCCCCGAGGCTTCCCTGTTCCCCTGTTCTTGGTGCCGCTGTGCAGCGGGCTTCTACATTACTTGCATGTTTTCATGATTTTCTTTGTGTGTAGTAGTGTGCGTTGTGTTATAAGTTGTTCTATCAGCTCCTTGTATATTTCGGTCGCTCATGTTTGGTGGCTTTGTGTAATCTTGGTCGGTTGATGGCTTTGTTAATTCAAAGTCAGGCTCTTCTAGAGCATTCGTTCTAAAAAAAAAGGCGGCGGCGGAAGGAGTTCGCCGTGGTTGAGGGAGCAGCAGGACCCTCCATCGGACGCACGCGTCCAAGCCGTGAGTTTTCCCCTGTCGCACTCTCATTTCCAATGTCAAATCCCCCCGATGGAGACTTCGAAACTCAACACCTAGCAACGAATTTTTCCTTGCGCAGACACATACTACTCGTCACGTAGTTCAAGACTTCAAAAGTCAAATCTCGTCGAGGACTTGTTCACGCAGACACATACGAGTACTACTCTTGCTTGCATTGTCCAATTTTGACTTGGCCGGAAGAAAAATCCCCAACTACAAGTCCACTCCCTGCAACAGCCAGCCCAATTGTTCTCAAGAACTATGTAGTAGTTTCCTTCTTCCCAGGAAGATGAAGCAGGCCGGCACGCCGTGCATTCCAGTTTTGATCCTCCTATTCTTCTTCAGTCCATTCTGCAGATCCGATGACCGGCTGTCGTCTGCAAAGCCGCTCTCCCCCGGCGACACTATCGTCTCCAAGGGCGGGGACTTCGCGCTCGGCTTCTTCTCCCCGGACAACTCCAACGCGAGCCTGTACCTTGGCATATGGTACCACAACATGGCCGGCCGCACCGTCGTATGGACCGCCAACCGCGACGATCCAATCGCCGCCGCTTCATCTCCAACGCTCGCCATCACCAACAGTTCTGACCTGGTGTTGTCGGACTCCCAAGGTCACACTCCTTGGGCCGTGAAGAGCGACATCAAGGGCAGCATGGGAGTTACTGCGGTGCTTCTTGACACGGGGAATTTCGTCGTCCAGTCACCAAATGACACGTCCATTTGGCAGAGCTTTGATCACCCTACCGACACACTCCTCCCAGGTAGGACCATGTTGAGCAAGAAGGGCCATGTGGTGTGGCGCATTATTGCTTCTAAGGGCCTCAATGACCTGTCAACTGGAGTCTTCTCTATGAGCCTTGATCCTAGCTCAGACCTTCAGTTTTTCATTTGGAACGGGACTAGGCCCTGTCGCCGCCGCATCTTCAACGGTGAGATGGCGGTTGGCACACTGTACCAGAATACTGTCTTGTATGAAGCTATTATCAGGACACGGGATGGGTTCTATTATGATTTTAGAGTTTCTGGTGCCTCACAGTATGCACATCTTAGGCTCGACTACATGGGTGTGTTGACTCTGAGCTTGAACAACCGCTCGTCATGGAGAACCACCACCGCACCCCCAGCTAGCTGCAACGTCTACGCTTCATGTGGCCCGTTCGGCTATTGTGACTACACGGCGGCTGTCCCAACATGTAGTTGCCTCGATGGGTTTGAGCCCTCTGGTCCTAACTTCTCAAGCGGATGTAGAAGAATCGAAGATCTGAAATGCAGCAAGCAAAGTCATTTCGTGACCTTACCTAGGATGATGCTCCCCGACAAATTTTTACGTGTCCACAACAGAAGCTTTGGCGACTGCATGACTGAGTGCAGCAACAATTGCTTGTGTACAGCCTATGCTTATGCCAACTTTAGCACTAATGATGCTACGGCCGACCAGTCAAGGTGCTTGGTTTGGACAGGGGAGCTTATCGACACAGGAAAGTTTAGCGACTATGGCGAGAACCTGTACCTCCGGCTTGCCAACTCTCCTGGTATATGCACCAACTGCATTCTAGGCTTCTAGCCTTATGTTAGCATGTCATTTAATGTTATCAGATAAACACCAACATTTAAGCATACTAAATTTATGAAGTTAACAGTATATCAGTAGCGGACAAATACTTCTTTTGTGTCCAACTACTCTGGTGTAAGCGTATTGATAGATCTATGAATATTCTATACAAGCATAATGCAATATTAGATCCCTTTTTAGCATAAGCCCAGCAGTAATTCTAGAGGGTTATGTGTAGCAGTTTTATTCGGTCAATGGTTCACTCATGGCTGTAAATTAGCGATGTGCTAAACTTATACAGGATTCGTTTTGCAGTTCAAAAGCATAGCAAATTGGTAAAGATTGTACTCCCAACCTTGGCATGTGTGCTGCTACTTGCTTGCATAGCCCTTGTCAGCATATGCAAATACAAAGGTAGAATGAAAACCGACCCTTATTTTCAAAATTCTACTTCTTTTTACGAGTGTTAATAACAAAAGTATTAATCTTTAGCAGGCATACGGCAGAAGGGACCGACGCTAGGATACCTTAGCTCGTCCAGTGAAATGGGTGGTGAACATGTGGAGTTTCCATTTGTTAGCTTTGAAGATATTGCTGCTGCAACAGATAATTTTTCTGAATTTAACCAAATTGGAAGCGGAGGTTTTGGTAAAGTTTACAAGGTACTCCCTCCGTCCGGAAATACTTGTCATCAAAATAAATTAAAGGGGGTGTATCTAGATGTATATTAATTCTAGATACATCCCTTTTTATCCATTTTGATGACAACAAGTATTTTCGGACGGAGGGAGTAACATATATAAAGCCTTACCTCCACAGTTATAGTAGCACGTTCTCTGTTTTTGAAGAATACGAAGAATACTTTTATCTCTGGAAACGATTGCTTTCATTGTTTAACAGTTCAGGATATACAAAACATGTAGGGAATGTTGCAAGGTGACAAAGAAGTTGCTATCAAAAGGCTTAGTAAGGGCTCTTCCCAAGGGATAGAGGAGTTCAAAAATGAAATAATTCTGATTGCGAAATTGCAACACAGAAATCTTGTTAGACTTCTTGGTTGCTGTATTTATGGAGATGAGAGGTTACTCATCTATGAATACTTACCTAACAAAAGCTTGGACACATTCCTTTTTGGTATGTTCAGGCTTCTGATGCATATTACAAGTTTTTGATTAACCAAAAGAACATCACTCATTACTGATGATATATTTCATTTATTTTTCATCTTTGTAGACGATACAAGACAATATGTGCTTGATTGGTCCACACGCTTCAAAATAATTAAAGGGGTAGCGAGAGGACTTCTTTACCTCCACCAAGATTCAATATTAACTATAATTCACAAAGATCTCAAACCAAGCAACATATTGTTGGATTCTGAAATGACTCCCAAAATATCAGACTTCGGTATGGCAAAAATCTTTGGTGGAAACAAACAAGAGGCAAACACTACCCAGGTAGTTGGGACATAGTAAGTAATTCAATGCACTAGCTACGTCTCAAGGTTCTAATTTCTATTGTCTACTTTATCCCAAATTATGCACCTCTTTGAATTTTCTAAAACAGTGGTTACATGTCACCTGAATATGTGATGGGAGGTGCCTTTTCTGTAAAATCGGACACCTATAGCTTCGGTGTTCTTCTCTTGGAGATTGTAAGTGGCTTGAAGATCACCTCGCCGCAACTCGTAATGAATTTTGTCAGCCTTACAGCTTACGTAAGTATGTATAAATGCATAGAATCTCAATATATCAAACATAGTAACTTGATCATAAGTTGTTTCTATTGGCTTAGGCATGGAGACTGTGGGAAGATGAAAAAGCAACAGAACTAGTGCACTCTTCGGTTATTGAGAGTTGTTCACTTGATGAAGTTCTACGGTGTATCCATGTCGGGCTCCTGTGCGTTCAAGACTGTCCGAATGATAGGCCACTCATGGCATCAGTTACTTTTATGTTGGAGAATGAAAGTGCATTGCTCCCGGCACCAAAGCAGCCTGCATATTTTGCTGTACGAAGCTTTGAACCTGGAAAGACAAGGGAAAACATGGAAAATACTATGAATGTAGTGAGTATCACAACACTTGAGGGGCGTTAGATGGGAAGCTGTATACTTTATCAGAAGCTGATACTTTATGATGTACAAATATGTGGAGTGCAATTTTTTCAGTAGGTTGTTGTGTCGTAGTGAAAAAGCATTGGACAGCGCAGGGGCCACTACCACCAGAGGGATCTCACTGTCAAGGGCATAGAAAGAGCACCCAAGGAGGCCTTGGCCGTAAAGCTTAAAGGAAGTAGGTTTATGGCGGTTCTGATAGTCCACCATGAGGTGGCCATCTTCTCTGCATATGAGACAGAAAGGTGGATTGAAGCAGCGGGACTGGAAATGGTCGGGCTGGTGGCATGCAAAGTAGGTAAGATTAGGGTTGGGTGGTTGGGGAAGCGGAGGGGACGGACGAGCCAGTGGAGGAGGGGGAGGGAGCAAGATCCCATCGCCCAGGGCAGCAGAAGACGAGCCGGGACCGGACGCCGAAGAACGACGCCTAAAGGCACCAGATCCAGCGCCCCCATGCCCCATCAGGCGCTCACTGGGCCCCGACGAGGTGCTAGAGGAGCGACCACCACCACGAGCCAGGGGAAGCGAACTGCGTGGAGGAGGAGGGGGGGACGGGAGCCAGGACCAGAACCGCCGCCAGCCGCCGCGGCCTCCTAGGGGTCGACCCCAGATCCGCCCGATCCGGGGGCCTCCGACCCCGAAAGGGCCGCGGACGCCGCCGCTGACCGAGTGCGCTCATCCTTCTGGAGCCACTCAGGCCCCGCCGCCCAGGCCTCGCGGTCGCGGGCCACTTGCGACCGAATCGCCTGCCCGGCCTCAAGCTTCGAACGGAGGGACGACTCGAGCTCCACATCCGCCGCCCCATCGCCCGAATCCTCCTGCCGCCGCTTCTGGCCCAACATGGCCTCACTCGATGAGCCACGAGAACGATCCATGGCCACAACAGACGTGAAGGAGAGAGAGAGAGGGGTGGGGGAGGAGGGGATCTGCGATAGAGAGGGATGCGGGGGCGGAAGCAACACAGATCAGATCGAGAGGAAGGAAACCCTAGGAATGAGGGGCGGAACCCTTGCGGACCCATAAATATCCGGAGCACGCCAGGCCAGGAGGGGCCGCATAGGCCGGGCTCGCAAGAAGGGAGGGGTCCGCTGGGCCAAAATAGGCCCAGGGCCCAGAATGGAAAGAGGGGGAAATTCAGAGGACGATGTTAGCGGTGGCGGCCCAAAAGGAACAGACGGACCAAACAGGGCCAAAGTGGGTCGAGCCAGGGGCCAACAAGCCTCCATCGCCGCTGCCAGCAGCGTTGGGCCCAACCTGACCAGCGGCGACGAGGACGGAAGGGAGCAAGAAGGACGCGCCAGACCACCGACCCACAAAGGGCCAGCCCCAAAAGCAGCACGGTCCGGCGAGGAGACCGTCCCCGAACGGCTCCGCCGATGACCACGCCCAACCTAGACCCAGCCAGATCCAACCGCCGCATCAGATAGTACCGGCCGACCGTGCCCATCCGGGGTAAATTTCCGGACGCGCCCCGTCGGACCCGACCTCAGCGCCGACGCCACAGCAGGAAAAGAAGCAGAGGCGAGAGGGAGAAGGTCGGAATCGGAGTCAGAATCAGCCTTGCCCCCATCAGCAGATAAGGCCTAGAATTTGTTGTCGAAGCCAGATCCAAGGGTGGGAGGACGAGGAGGGGATCCAAGGGAGGGGGAGATGGGAGCACCGAAAGAAGAGATTGGTGCCGGAGACGGAGGGGAAGCACGGGGGGAGGAGGAAGCAGGGGCGGTCCGCAGTTGCTGGAGGGAGCAGGACGATGGGGTGGAGGAGGTGGAGCACGGGAGGGGACAGGAGGGGGAGAGGAGAGCCATCTCCCACTGTCACCAACCGCCTCCAGTAGCTTGTGTTTCTTAAGGGTTTACTAGGTATGTTTCCAATTTCTGTCTTCTGTTCTGCTTAATTGCTAACCTAGCTAACCCTGAAAGTGATCAGCATGAACAGAGCTTCTCTCATTAAAAAAACAGAGCTTCTGCCAGTTCCTAAAAGGAAATGGAGTACAGATGATTGGGGTGTCAATGGTGATTACGAAATGGCGGCAAAGGATGTGCTCTATGTCATGGCGACAGTGAGCCTGAAAGTGCTCATCATGAACGCTAGTGATGCACTCCTTCCGTTCACTTTTGCAAGTCATTTTGGATATTTCAATATGGACGACATATACAAAATGAAATGAGTGAATGAACACACTAAAGCGCGCGCGCGCACACACACACACACACATATAGGGTGGGTCTATTATGATAACACCCCTTAAGACCTTATTCTGCACACCAAAACACCTTATTCTGCACACCACCAACAGATCACGTCGCCGCCCCTCCCCTCCCGACCTTCTACCGCGGCAGCGGCCTGGGCTAGCCGCCGCCCCTCCCCTCCCGGCCTTCTTCCACGGCGGCGGCCTGGGAGAGATGCCGACCCTCCCCTCCCCACTTTCTCCCGCGGCGGCAGCCTGGGAGCGACGCCGCCCCTCCCCTCCAGGCCTTCTTCCGCGGCAGCGGCCGGCAGTGACGCCGCCCCTCCCCTCCCGGCCTTCTTCCGCGGCGGTGGCCAGGCAGCGACGCCGCCCGTCGCCTCTCGGCCTTCTTCCGCGGCAGGCACCAAGCAACACCAGCCTATCGGCCTTCTTCCACGGCAGCAGCTCGGTAGCGCCGCCACCGAACTCCTCAGGGCCTGCAATTAGCTGTAATTCTTCAGATGTGGATTGGTGCTGCCTCGACATCAAACCAATTCGAGCAAGGAGGAGTGTGCGCAAGGTTTCTTCATCCACTGTAGCTTCTTGGAATAAGTCTGCATCAACCTTCAGAGCAAATCCTCCTTCCCCATTCACATTGAGCAACGTCCAGACCGCCCATGAACTTCTGAAGGGCAAGTGGACTGCACGGGCGAACGTGAAAGTTGTGCAGGAGGACGAGAAGGGAACTTCCTCCTGTAAACGCAAGAAATCACTGCATCACGAGGTAAGCAGTAGACTTCCTAAACCATCTTAGTGTAGTTATCATAGACAAATCAGTACAAGCAGTACAACGCGTGATTATGCAGTACAAAACTTATGCAGTGTGGTTGCTTCAGTTCGTTGTGGGGGAAAATGCAGTACGCTTGTATAGGTTCATTACATATAACGATGCAGTGCGGTTGCTTCAGTTCACCTTGAGGGGTGATGCAGTCACTGTGCATTGCTTCGGCAGTACCATTTTGAACACATTGCAGTTCGCATGATTCAGTTCATTTAATCTGACAATGCAGCTCGGTCATTTTGTGCGTAGGAGATGACGTTCAGCAGATACAAAATGTCGCGCATAATTGACAGCACTGAGAACAACAACTTTCAGAAGAGTGGATATTCTTCTGACAGAGATACTGGCTGGGTTACCCCTGAGATTCCTCATGGATTCTTCACGACGACAAACAGGGTGCAGTACTCCCCACAAGAAGATTTTTCCCAGGAAGAAGATGTAGTTGAAGATGACGATGATGTCACATTCGTCTGGGAAGGCACTCACCAACGCGATGATAAAGACGATGACGATGAAGATGAGCCGATAACAGTTCTCAACCCAGAGTATAAGCATGAGTTCACTACGTTTGGACAGCATGTCCGAACAGATAATGATGACGCAGTTGAACACGATGTTGCAGCAGATGATGATTATGTCTATGATGATGTGCCACTGCTCCAAAATTTTAAAACCAATCCACCGAGACATCGTCACAACACTGGATTACCACCACGTCCACCTGCCGCACCCCAAAACAGAGCTCAGCGTCCACCTGCTGCACCGAAAAACAGAGCTCCAACCAGACCTGTTGCATCAACTTCGACGTTGCGACCACCAACGGTGCCTCGGTCAAAAGTAAATAGCAGGTACAAATCCTCCTCACCATTACAGCCGCGAGATCCTCAACTACACACATCTGCTATAACCCGGCCATGTCCAATACAACCCGGCGAGCTGCAAACACCATCAGGCGAACGACTCTACACACATGTAAGTTTATGGTCTGAAAAAAATAGTTACAGTCCATACAGATAACATTGCAGTGCACACTGATATTTCTTGTGAGCTTTGGCTAGGAACATTGCAAATGCTTTATTAAACTCGTATGCACTCCTCGTATTCAAAAAATAGAACAGAACAAATTTTCTCATATAGCATTTCAATTAATGCAGGATAAAAACATGCCGCTCAACCTCGTACCTGCTGCTGGAATGAAGTTCACCACGTACGAAAAGGCATGGGACTTTTACAACAATTATGCAAGATGTGCAGGGTTTGGTATACGCAAGAGGGCAAAACACAGGACAAATGCCTACATTGTCTGCTCAAGAGAAGGGGTCCACAAGAGGCTGTGTCAGATTATCACCGGGTACGTCAGAAGACATCAAAAAGGATTGGCTGCAATGCAAAGATTAGAGTTAAAAAAAGGAAGGATGGCAAATTTGTGATAGAAATGGTTCAACTCAACCACAATCACAAGATGCTGGAAAGCCCCGGGATGCTGTTGCACATGCGATTGCACAAAAAAGACGATCCTTTGATAGACCAGTTAGTGAAAGACATGCAACTGGACAACCACACACATGCTCAGATGATGTCGACGCTGTCGCGTATGACCGGTGGTCTGCAGTACATGGGACATACTAGCCGCGACTGGGTAAATAGCTAAGCACGTAACAGAGCATATCTCTTGAGCATTCTGTCTGTAATTATTCCCTGTTTGGTGAGATAAGTTTGAATTGTCTATGAAAATGCAGGAAACAGAAGTTTGCCAGAGAAGAGTCTGAAGATGATGTCAAGAAACTTCTGAATTTCTTCGAGAAAATGCAAAAGATAAACCCAGAGTTCTTCTATAATTATGATGTTGATGCAGATAACCGTGTAAGAAACGTCTTTTGGGCGAACGCAAGTTGCAGAGGATCGTATGAAGATTTTGGAGACTGCGTTACATTTGACACGACTTATAAAACTAACAAATTCCACATGCCTCTG